TACTCTGCCCTCTTATTCTCTCTAGAGTCTCTGTGTAAGCATTGCTTAAGTCTTTTGCGGCCTCACGCAGCTTCTTCTTTCTTCCACCAATTGTGATCTCGCCGAGTATGGAATCGATCCGTAATCTGACTAGAATGAGGCTTCGGCCCATCGTTAGCTATAAGGTCTCAATGTTATTGCGCCATACGTACACTTCAGAGGATTCCCGCGGAATCTTTGTCAGAATTTCGCACTTGAGGCCATCATCCATCGCTCTTGGGTATGGATCGGTGTCCAACTTTGCTACCAAGTAATTTACGATGTCACTAAGGGGGGGTCGCATAGCGATGATGCTCATATCGAGTGGGATGTGACCTTCCAGGTCTGATTGGATATGGGCCCTTGCAGTGACAAATAGTCTAGCATTTGGTAATCGATCTAAGATCTGGCGTAGGGAACGTAGAAAGGGAGCGCTGTATCCCGCCACAATCTCATCCAGAGCATCGACACAGAGGAATACTTTCTGGAAGTTTCCGAGGACGACCTGGAATAGTTCAATAGTCTTTCGAAGCTCGAGTGCTCGTCCTCCAATATGGGCCTTCGCTGATTGGAAGGCCTGTTTGATCACTTCCGGAATCTCCGGTAATGCCGTCACAAACTGCCTCGAAAGGCTCCTAATCATCACTTTCGCCGTTTGTTCTTTTTGACCCCGGTAATCGCAGTATAGGCAACCGACTGCAAAATTCGGCCCCTGGGCCTCATCGCATAGCCTATCTATCACTAAGGAGCTATTACTAAGTCAGTAGTGATTTGAGTGTATGAAAAATCATAGATCCTACCAAATAAAAGTCTTTCCTACCCCGGGCGCCCCACGGCAAAACAAAGTCCTACCAGCCGTCCGGTCGTTTCCATCCCGCCGCCATGCTTGAAACTCGCTGCTTTGTAGCACCCATTCTCCTATACCTTTGACGCGAGTACCAACCACATCACTGTGTCTCTTCCATGACTCCAACGGTGATATCCATGATAGTATCCTCAGTTCTTCGTCGCTGACAGTTGTGTGATTGTAGGTAGTAGTGTTATTCGAGTTTGTGACATTAAAACTACTGTTGTTATTTCTTAATAGGTTGCGGTTGTAGCAGTTGTTCATGGCTTTTGAACGGATGCTAGTGGTCTCGGAGATGAATCTTCCTTCTTGAAGAATGTTATTGCTGAACAGAGCCGGACCGGCAGTAGTGGGGGTAAGTACCGTCAATTTCTAACGAAAGCGGGGTTCAGCTCTCTGCAACAATGTGTCCTTAAAATGGGTTTCACAAAGTGTCCCGGCTAAACCTTCCTATAAGTGCGAAAACCCACCCTCAACATACAGTACGATTACAGTACCAGGACAAGCACAATACCATATTCACGTTAAATGCATAATAGAGTCAGAATCATTACAGGAATCGCAACCCTGATCCCAATCATGATAGCATAGCACTTCGATCTATATCACCGTACTGAACTCGAGTACAAGGAGGGAATCTGCTATATTTCTAGCGGATAAGAGCTTTAGTAATAAGATAGGGGGAGCCAACCCCCCTGTCCAAACAAGTGCACCCAAGCGATGTCCGGGAAAAAGATTCGCCGTACCGCTGTCAGCCTTCCACTACAGCTGCACTATATCGTGTGTTCTACAGTGCGAAAGAAATAACAAAAGTGTAGAGGTAAATAATCAATCTTCCAACTACCGCATTGCGCCACTCCGACCGTCTCGCAATATCACGGTTCACCTGATGCTCCTGGCTATGGCATCCTGTGTAGAATGCAGAGTGCACGCATCGTGATGAGGGGGGGTATTATATAATATAACATGAGCACGGCGACGCTCGTCAAGATGAATACCACGCATAACACGTTAGGGGAGATCTATTAGACCAGTGTTAAGCTTCTTGAATTTATTTATGTATCCAACTCCACTTATTAATTAAATTAATTTATTGAGAAATCTTATCTCCCTCCGCACCGGCAGTTGGTCGGCATGAGGCACTATGCCGTAATTGCACAGTACTGTACTGTACTCCTCTCCAACTCTCAAGTTAGGCTATGTGATTATCAACACAGTTCACGAATTAACACCCCAAGCAACAGTTTATTCTGCACAGCGGACAGCAATACCTCCTCATCACGAGAATAATGTCTCCCGAGCTGTGTACCGTACGCGGCCCGAGACACTACAAACCTATACTCGCGTTGATTCACAATAGCTTATTCAGCCTGCCCTCCTCCCTAATTCGGTTGGAATGGCTTCAGTAAGCGATAATAAGCAATGCCTATTACTGCATTAGGTATAATGACGCCCAGAAAGTACCTGACCATGCTAGCCTGGGCCATGTTACCTTTGTAGCGGTGTTGTTCTGTAGGCCGATGCCCAGAACCTCCACGGCTCGCAGCAACGATCCTCCCTACACCCCCCCTCCCCGCAGACGGCAGTATCGACACCTCTCCTCCCCGCACCGAACCGCAAGTCCGCCAGGGGGCAGCTTGATTCCTAGACTATAGAGATTTTTCCACTTCTCGCCTCCGAACCCTTTATCTTGGGCTACCATACTGAAGTCCTCCCTCGCCGCGCCAGACAAAACGAGCAAAAAGACATCATAGGAATAGAATCTGCCTTATATAATCACTCGCTTTCTATTATTTCCTTCCCCCTCCCCACAACGTACCCATTCCTTCAATATCCCCCCGACTATATCCGCGCCGATTTTCTCCACAGCCTTCTCGCGAACTATGATAAAACTCCGATATTCTATCATACTTCCTATCATACAGATTCTCGATTTGCCCTGTCCGCGGTTTGCTCGTTCAACGGTTCCCCATACGATACCGGTAGCAAGAGGGGTTCAACTTAGGTACCTACTGGTATAGGTCCGTACTCGTTCCGTGCGAGTACACCGGGGTACGAAGGCTTGAATCCTGCGACCGCCTCGCCATACAAAACACCTACAAACGAAGGGAGGGAGGGGAGAAAAAAACCACCCTCTCCAAAGAGAATAAGGGTTGTTAAATTTTACTGCCGAAGGGTTATGTTCCCCTCACGGATAGCAAGTATACCAAGCCTAGGGTATCAGATCCTTACAGCGCGCCACGTATTTCCGAAGGATTCTCTGGAACTTGTGATCCCGAATAGCGCTCCATTATTAAATGATGCGTTACCAATTAATTACAATATTCCCGTAAACGGTCATGAATCATAGCAGATAATCTAGGAACGCATATTCCATAATATAGCAACTCTTTATCGCGCTGGCAAGGTAGAAATCTGTACCACCCTGCGATTAGAGATGGAATGATGGAGAGTGATTGGGGAGTACCATAAATAAACCTAGAAATCACGATCTGATTGTGGACCTAGCGGGTTGTCGGTGATCAACCCATTCGCAGAGTAATATTTACCATACCCAACCTTAAAACATTCTAGGATCATGCCCGGTATCCTACGCGGTAATGATCCTCGGCGCCAGTAATTATATATGGTGCCGGGGGTGCCATGAGTAGCCTGATATTCATGACTTATGATAGGGTAATACTGATCAGGAACTCATGGTCAGCCCGCAAGCTGGGAACCAGGAGTCTTCCAGAGCACCACAGCAACCAGGCTTACAGGAATATAGTAGAAAAATTAACCCAGTTATTTACAAACAAATCAAGTGATATTTCGTGAATACACATTAGACTCGAATCTACACCGCCCCTCCCTCCTCCATTCTCCTAGCCACGCTCCTAAGCACCTCTTGCTGTTCCTCCCGCCTAGCAGCATTCATCGCCTCCTCGGTATCGTTATAGCATCTAAAAAGTACCCAGAACGCGATGCCTGCGACGGCAGTTGCAATACTCAATCCTGAGAACCTCCACACAAGTTTGGGATGCACGCTTGTCGGCGAGGCAGCAATACCCAGGGCAGATCTGACAGCATTCATCAGGAGAAACAATGACATTATGAAAGACTTCATGTTTGTCGGCGCTTTTGTGTGGGGCCATCCGAGAGCTCCTACTCTACCCCTGACCCTAATTCATCACGTTTCAAAATACTGGGATGCAAGAGTGGTGTTGTAATAAAAATGGGTAACATTTGACCATGATATTTGACTCTAGCAGGACCCGCACAACATCTTTGTAGAGGCCTAGGAGTGATGAATGGTCGAAAAATTAATTAAACAAGAACGAGAACGACCATTCATCATTCCCCAACAGCATTTCTTTGTTTGCGCCACCTAATATTCATAAAGAAACACTGGAAATACAGGAGCAGGCCAGAATCTAACCCAACAACACAGGCCCCCACCGGGACAAGAGCCAGTGAGAATACAAGAATCACATTTCAACCTACCCACCCTAGCCAATAAAGCTTCTACAGACGGGTCCAAGGTTTCAGAAGAGAGGTTGTTCAAAGACTTCCAGCAAGGAAATCTCATGGCACTCCGGATCTGCTATTCATTCGTATACACTCTCCGCCATGTCTCCGCGTTTGCCGAGCCAATTTGCAGCCAGACTCGGTGATGCATGGAATCACCGGGTGTGCTCTATCTCGCTCTCAGCGTGTAGAAACAAAAAGCAGAAAAGGTAAAATCCTTCTTGCCATATAGTCTAATTGTGCATTAACCTCCATCTAGAAGTGCCCAGATGATATACATTGTTTGTATCATGAAACCCCCAAGCACCCTAAAAGGAATCATTAACCCTTACCCCCCTACGCGTGGGACCCCGAGGAGAATATTATGCTGCCGGAAAACTTATCAACGTTGGGAACGGCCACGCAGGAGATCGAAAAACGAAAATAAAGCAATAACTGAACAAGAAACAAGTAACGCCGCGATGAAATACCGCCAAGATTAGTGTGGAGGGCTTGCCGAAAGTTTCGGAAAAAAACAGGAAAGGAAGAAAGGAAGAAAGGAAGAAAGGAAGAAAAGCAATAACTTCTATGTAATTCAACTAAAGGGAGACACCAAACCAGAGCTGACATGGTAATAGGTGCATCCGTGAAGGGGAGGCCGCGATCGCGGGGATGAAGTTTAGGAAGGACGTCGGAGGCCGGTAAGCGACAGTAGTGGGCGTAGTTAGGGGAAAGGTCAGCGGGTTAGCAGTTGGTGAACACCCTGGTGTCCATAGAGATTCGCGAAATGGAGAGGAGTTCGGCCACACCGGTCGGTAGGGTTGGGATTAATATCAGCGTGGCTTAGCAGGACCCTTACTACTGCTTCATGGCCATTTTCAGAAGCTTGGTGGAGTGGTGTTCGGTCATCAGAACCGGCAGAATTGGGGTTGACATCGGTGCGGCTTAGTAGCATCCTTACTACTCCTTCATGGCCATTTCTAGAAGCTTTGTGAAGTGGTGTTTGGTCAAGCCGATCGGCAGAGTCGGGGTTGACATCGGTGTAGCTTAGTAGCATCCTTACTACTCCTTCATGGCCATTTGTAGAAGCTTTGTGGAGTGGTGTTTTGTCAAGCCCATCGCCAGAGTTGGGGTTGACATCGGTGTGGTTTAGTAGCACCCCTGCTACTCCTGCATGGCCATTCGCAGAAGCTTGGTGGAGGGGTGTTTGGCCATCACAATCGGTAGAGTTGGGGTTGACATCGGCGCGGCTCATCAGGATCCTTACAACTCCTTCATTCCCCCTTCCCGCAGCCAAAATCAGAGGTGTTCGGCCCCACCAATCAGCCTGGTCCAAATCCGCCCGTTCTCTACTCATAACTACCTCCACAAGGTTATCGATTCCGAAGTATGAAACGTAGTGTAATCCACTAAACCCCTCCGAAAGAAACTGCCCCCAGGGCCGCAGAGCTCCTCCGTTGGACAAGAAGATATTCGCAGCCGCGTGGTGAGGGTATTGGTCCAGAATTCCAAGTGCAAATTGGCTTACAGAGTCCGTAAGCTCTTTCCGCGCATGGGCTCCCCAGTGACAGGACGCATATCCAAGAAGCGGGAATGCAGGGGGGGCAGTTGAAATATCTGACGGGAGCTCCCTAATTGATTGAACGCTTAGATAGCTCAAGCAAATCTCAGCGATAGTGGCATGTGGGTTCTGAAATATATTTTGCTGATGACGGTGCAAATATTCTTCTAAAGTAGCATGCACTAGCCGGACCGTTGATGATGCATGGTCAGTGGTGACTAGGCCCATACAAGATGCCACAACAGTCTCAATCGAAGGAACCATTTCAGTATCGATACTAGGTGATCCAACTTCCATAGCCAGAGCATGGCATAGTTCATCGATGAGTAGGGGTTGTTCGGCCAACGAAATCCACATCAACGCTGACATTCCAATTCCCGCGAGGGCTC